GGGGGAGTGGGAGAGAGGGAGGGGGGGGTCGCGAGCGTCGGGTGTCGAGGCGGCCTCAGCATGGATCCGTTTGGGGCTGCGCCCCAACGCATGCCCACCGGAGGTTGTGCATTCCCCCCATGCAACATCCCCTGATTCAACTCCCCCCCCCCCAAAACATAATCGAACACCATCAGGCGCAAGCCGCGGCGGCAATGCCCTCGTCCTCCATGGGGTCGGGGGCCTCTGGGCCGGCGCCGGCAGCGTCGCTGGCCCAGCAGCAGCATTCGGCGATGCAGCAGCAGCAGGCGGCGATGCAGCAGCAGCAAATGCAGGCGATGCAGGCGCAGCAGCTGGGGCAGGCGGGGCAGGGGCACGCAACCCCCCACCCGGGGTCCTCGGCGCCCAGCCCCGCGCCCCAGAACGGCAGCCTGTCCCCCGCGCCGCCGGGCGTGGGGCTCCCCGGTGCAGGGGGCGGGGCTCCCGTCGCCGCGCCGGGCCCCGGCGGCGGCGCGCCGGCCGTGGGGCCGGGGGCGGCGGGCGGCGCGCCCAAGCTGAACCAACCGCCGCAGATCACGCTGCAGCAGCTGAACCACATCCTGGCCACCAACAAGCTGCCCAACGGACAGCCGCTGAGCAGCGACATGCGGGACGCCATTCAGAAGAAGCGGGACGCCTACCTGGCCCCGCTCCAGGCGGTCAACCTGCGGCAGCAGCAGATGGCCGCGCAGATGCAGCTGCAGGCGGCGGCCGCCGCGGCCGCGCGCGGCGGCGGCGGTCCAGGGGCCACCCCCGGTGCCCCCGGCCCCGGCCCCGGCCCCGGCACCGGCCCGGGCATATTCCCGGGGTCGGGCGGGCAGCAGGGGCCGGGGACGCCGGCGTCGGCTGGGGCCATGCCCCTGGGCCTCCCGCCCGGCATGCAGCTGGGGCCGGGTGGGCAGCTGCACCCGGGCATGACGCTGCCCCCCGGCGCGGCGGCCATGGCGGCGGCGCAGCAGCAGCTCCTGGCGCAGCAGCTCATGGCGCATCAGCACCACCAGGCCCAGGCGGCGGCAGCGGCGGCGGCCGCGGCGGCCGCCGGGCATGCGGGCCCGCAGCAGCATGGGCCGCCGGCGGTGCCGCTGCCGCCGGGCGTGGCCGGGCAGGGGGGCATGGGCTGAGGGGCGGGGCGCGCTGGACGGAGGCTGTGCGCCGCGCCGCCACAGGGAGGGCCACGTGCGGTCACCGGCATGCCGACCAGTACTGGCAAAGCCAGGGCGCGCTCGGTCCCAGCCCCGCCGGTCCCTCCCCGAAGCCCCCCCTCCCCTGTCTGCCCGTCCCAGCCTTTCTATGGAGGGGGGACAGGGACAATACCCATGCCCGGTCCCCCCCTTGCCAGAGACGAGTGCAACTAACTTGGCAATTTGTGAAACTCTGTGACTAAACGTGCTTGGACAGGAGGGGAATGTATGCCCAGCAATAGTCACTGGCAGCGACGCTGCGGCAGCGGAGCCGAGCTCCTGCCTGGCGCCAGTTTGCGCCACCAAACAGCAGCTTCAGCCAGCTCGCTGAACTCTCGCCGACAGAATATCATCATAATCTACAGCTGGCACGCTGGTGGGGGCCAATTTCAGACCAGCACGCATGGGCAGGACAGGAATCGAGTCCCGGCAGCGCCTCATCGCGAGGCACATTCATTCTACTACAGGCACGCCTCCGTGCGTCCTCCACCACAACCCCCTCATGACCCGCACGTCAGGGGCTGGAGCCCTCCTTGCCGCGCTTTCCCAGCCAGCGCGCCACCACGGGGGTGAGTGCCACGGTGGGCGGGAAGCGGACGGGGGAGAGCGCCTTGTGCGCCGCGTACGCGATGGCCACGGTGCCGACGCGCTCGGAGGTGGCGCCGGGGGCCAGCCCCACCCGCGTCAGCAGCGCGCCGACGTCCACCCCCGCGCTGACGGCGAGGTAGCAGGCGCCGAAGGAGACCAGCGCGAAGGAGATGGAGGTGAGGAGGTAGGCGCTGCCGTACTGCTTGAGCAGCGCCTTGGCCTCGTCCGCGCGGGAGGGAGCGTCCGGCCTGCGCTCGCGGGAGGTCAGAGCCTTCCACAGCCCGGCCTCCAGCCCATACTTTTCGGTGGTGGCCGACGGGTCCACGGGCTGCGCAGGGAGGGCATTCGTGGGGGCGCCGGCAAGAATGAGGCCGGCTGGTGTGATGTACTCTTGGGATGCACACCCTTGCGCCTGCGAGCAGCGCAACACCCTTCCCAGTTTCACCCTCTCCTTCCACACCACTACCCACCTCCTCGGTGTCCGTCTTGTCCTTCACGGCACGCAGGACGGGCGACTTCGAGCTGTGCCTGCGTGGGGATGGAGATGAACCATGGGTGAACCTCAGACTTCGTCCAGGGCCATGCAATTGCAGTGCAAGGGCGAGGGGCAGACGTCCAGCGACCTGTCCAGGCATGCAGCCCCGCCTCAGCGACACTCACCGGAATGCACCGTGACAATAAACCGACCTATGAGGCCTCGAACATAGAATCTTGCCTCCCATGGGCCCCATGCAGCAAGGCACGATACATCCTGAGCGGCTTCCTGTGACCGTCGGGAACGACATCGGGAATGTCAGCTTGGGAGTGACTAGGTACTCTATACGCTATGTTTGTGTAACAGATACAGCGAATGGGCCCATCTGGATGTACCGGTGGGAGACTCGCATGTATGTTGTGTGGAGAGGGGCCCGACATGCAAGATGCATGTCCGCGCTCGATGATCCGATTTTCCCATTCCGCACGATAAAGGTGTTGAGTGTTCCTCGAGCCAGGGATGAGGCGTGCTCATATCTCTATCGATACAATCTATGAGCACCATTAGACTGCGATTAATGCAGAGGCAGGACACTTGTTCGTAGCAGGTCTCCCCTGCGCTCTTGACCATGTCCCGATCACTTCAGGAACACACTTTGGCATAGTATTGTGCTCCCCCCAGATGACGATAACCAATACAGTAATGATAATGTTTCTCTTCGGATGTATTCAAGTCGCACAATGCGGGCTGGGCATCCGCACGGTGGCCGACCTGACGCAGGCCATGTACCCTCACCTGCCGGACAGCGATGCGTGCGTGCGCCTGCTGCACCGCAACGGCAGCGCCGGGTGCTCCACCCCCGGCAACAGCGCGGTGGAGGGGAACCTCTGGCGCTTGAGTGATCGAGACATGGAGGCTGGTTCAGGCCAGCACATTCCACGTGAGGAGAAATAGATGGGTGCTTCAGTGCTCCAGACGGCAAGCCAGTGGGGCCTCGCTGGCTGCCATCGAAGACCCCACGCCGCACCTCATCGCCACTCCAAGTACATGCGTTGCAGGAGGGAGCGTGGCTGTCCTCTCGGCGGCGGCACTGGAGGACTTCTTGGCCAGTTTGTCGGCAGATGCCGCCTGGGCGAGCCACTGGGCAGGGGCCCTGGTCCTCGCCCACGCCCCCGGCACCCACCTGCCCTCCAACCCTCTGCCTGCCAGCGGCGCGCTGCGGCCGGGTTTCGAGGCCGAGGCCCCTTCCCACGCCTGGAACCCGGCCGGCACCGGCTCGGTGCTGCGTGCCCTCCCCATCCCCCTCTTCAGCCTGAACGCCAGCGCCAGCGAGCGGGTGGCGGCGACCCTCTCACGTGCCCCCAGCACGGGCGCCGGCCCCTCCCCCGCCGCGCGCATGGACGTGCGCATGACCGTGCCGGCCGGCGCGACCTCCGAGGCCTGCCTGGCGGCGCGCACCTGCCTGCCCCTCGGCGGCCACACCGTGTGGGCGCGGGTGGGGCCCCGGGGTTCCCGCCCCGCGCCGGTTCTGGTGGCGGCCGTGCAGGACGAGGCCAGCCTGTTCCATGCCAGGGGGGGAGCCGGCGCGCACGCCGGCGCGTCGGGCCTGATCGCCACCCTGGCGGCCGCCCGCGCGCTTGGCCGCCGGCCGCCGGCCGCCGGCCGCGCGCCCATCGTCTTCGCGGCGTTCGCGGGGGAGGCCTGGGGCGCGCTGGGCAGCCGCCGCCTGCTGTACCAGGCCGCCGCCGGGGACGCGGACGCGCTGGACCCCGCCCGCCCCGCGCGCCTGCTGGAGGTGGGGCGCGTGGGCTGCGTCCCCGGCGCGCTGCACGTGCATGGCGCAGACCGGGGCACGCTGGGCACGCTGCGCGCAGCGGCGGCGGCCGTGCCAGGACTGCGCCTGGCCGAGGCGCCGGCGGGAGGCGGGGCGAAGGGAGGCGCGAGGGGGGGTGTGGATCGGAGGACTGCAGCCCCCGTCGGGGCCAGGGGCTCGACTGGGAGGCTGGGGGCGGGGGCTCCTGTGCGCGATGCCGCACCATTGGCTACCTCTCCCTCCTCCCGACGCCTCCGCGCAGGCCTGCCCCCGGGGAGCGCGGCGCAGTCCTACCGCCGCGTCCACCCCGACCTCCCGCTGGCCGTGCTCACCGACTACGACGCGGCGTGGCCGAGCGATGCCGGCACGCCGACCGACGGCCTGGACCGCCTGGACGTGCGCGCGCTCGCGGTCGCGGCGGAGCTCGTCGCGCGCGCCGCACACGCATGGGCCTCCAGCGGCGGCGGCGACGGCGACGACACTCCGGGCCTGAGCGTGGACGCAGACTCGCTGGAGCGCGACGTGGCCCAGCTGCTGGCCTGCTTTGGGCCGCAAGGGCTGGCCTGCCCACTGGCCGCCGCGGTGCTGCGGGGCGGGGCGGGGCCCCGCGCGGGGCCGCCGAGCTCCTACGTCGGCATCCTGCGCTCCCTCACCAAGGGTGGGGAGTGTGCGTGTGTGGGCTGAGGCGAGGGGGAGGGGAGAGCCGTTTGCCATGGCGTCGGCACTGCAGGGCGGTGCTGAAGGCAGGCTGGACTTCCTGGTGCCGCAGCGTGTGCACAGGCAACTGTGTCGGTGCTGGCTGGGGCTGAGGGGTGCGCGCCTTGCACCCCAAGGAGGCTGTGTGCGCCGACCCTCTGAGTCATCGACCCCACCCCCCGCCTCAGACTCCCAGGCCAGCGACCCGCTTGTCAAGGGCGCCAGGGAGCGCTTCCTGCTGGGCTACCTGGCGTACGCCGCCGCCGGCATCCGGCCCGAGGCCGAGGGGTACGTGCCGCGGGGCCGGCCCTGCTCGGCCGCCTCCGAGCTGCAGTGCCCAGGGGGCGGAGTCTGCGTGGGGGCCCAGACGCAGGACAGGCAAGCCTGGGGGGTGCTGAGGGTTAGGGCTGCGCTTCAGGCTGGGCTGCGCTTCAGTTTGGGCTGCGCTTCAGGCTGGGCTGCGCTTCATGGGCTGGGATCTGGGATTGAGCGGCCGTGCTGCATGTCCGGGCTGCTGGCCTGCCGTGTGGGAAGCCTTGCCATGAGTCCATGAGTTCTGCACAGGACATGCCCCGGGCCACCCCACCCCTCTTCAACTCACAATGGCAGGTCTTCGGAGTGCCTGAACGTCACCGCCAAGTATGTGCCCGCCTACCCAACCGCCCTGGAGTGCCGGGCATGCGACGGGCAGAGGGCCGGCGGCGAGGGCTGGCACTTCACGGAGGCAGCGGCGACCTGGTGCGGGATCGGGATGGGCGCATGCGTGAGTGCATGGCTCAATCGCATCCATGCGAGCAACCGTGCATGCGGTGGATGTTGAGAAGCGCTGAGAGGGTTTGCCAGCGCCAGTCGGCGGATATGGGCGAGTGCACAGGGGACGGGCACGACACCCCGGAACACCCTGCACCCTCCATCCCATGACAGGGAGGCCAGCTTCGGGTGGCCGGAGGAGGACGTGTGGGCCGAGAGCAACTGGCCCACGGGGACCCCCAGCCTGAGCCTGCTGCTGCGAGAATCTGCGGCCCGCGAGCGACAGGTCCTGCTGGCCGGGGTTGGCGTCGCCCTGCTTTGCGTCGCCGGCGTGGCTTTGCTGCAGAAGCAGGCCCGAGGCTGGCTGCCCGGAGCGGCAGGCGGGGACGGTTGACTCGGGTGGTAACGCTAGTACCAACAGATTGTCTTGCGCTGCCCCACACGGTGTACATGACATGTGCAGTGGGCGCGAGGAACAAAGGATCGCATTATGGACAAATCGGGGACAGCAAGCTCCAGCCAAGGGCACAAACAGCGTACAGGGAAGAAGATGAAGAGTGTGCAGGTTCGTTGCATCGAGCAGCTTTGCCTCAAAACATGCTGGAGCCGCTCCTTTTCTTGCCCACCAGCATATCCTTGGCCTCATTGACCTTGGTGGCAATGTAGCTGCTGCCCCCGGCATCGGGGTGGTTGGCGATCATGATGCGGCGATGCGCCTCTTTGACCTTGGCCTCTGCCGCGCTTTCCCGGATACCTAGAGGTGACGTGAGCGACAGATCGGACACATTTTTGCCAGGAGGGGGTGGGTTGAGGGGCAGGCCGAGAGGATGCTGAATACCTGCCCTGCGCAGGTACACACAAACCCCACCCACCTAGAATGAGTGCAGCCTCTCGTCGGGTCATCTCGGGAAGGAAGCCTCCCTTGTAGAATTGCCTCATGCGCGGCGCTGTCTTGCTAAATGACTGCCAAGCAGTAAGTGCCGTCTTGCCGGCATATGCCGCTGCTCCCACGGCCAACCCGGCCAGCAGGGGGGTGGTCTGCAAGGGCGAGCGTGTTAATCCATGTCAGCCTCGGCACGCTTGCAAGGGGTTGTTTAATTTACAATGCCATCGACTCCCCCTCCTAGTTCTGAGACCCACCATGCCGACGACAGGAGACCACACAGAGGGCCCACGCGTCCGCAAGCCTTGGCGTCAATGACCGGGACGAGGATGGCTGCGCACCAGCCCGCAGGCAGCGAGATATTCGTATGGGGACTGAGAATGTGCAATGGACCAATTTCTACATGTTGGGATGTCAGTCATGCTTGGTTTTACTCTGCCGAGTCTGGAAACACTCTGCACCGCACGCACAGCAGCACCGACACCCCAGACGAGGAGGTGAGGTGTGACGCTCCTCCTCGGTATTGAGAGGGGTACGGTGCAACATTGATTCTGAAGAGCTGACTGTGACGAGATTAAATACTTGGCGATACCTCTCTGGAGTCTCAGCTTCGTGTGTGCGGGTCCCCTACACTGCACAGGAACTGCTGGCTCCCGTGAGTGTGCCCTGAACGCGTCTCAGCAACGATCAGCCGGCTTACACCCATCCCAGCGCATATATCCACCCTATGGCAACTCTAGACGTTCCCAAGAAGACGGAAGAGGGTGAGCAGGTGTGCGTGGTGCAGACTGGAAAGGGAGGGCAGCATGGTCCCTCCAAAATCCAGCCGGTCTGTGTGATCCACCCAACACCCGTTCCTATCCATGCAGCCCTCTTCTACCGATTGAAGAGCAAGGGGTTCAATGAGTGCAAGGAGGTGGGCGAGGCATACGCGGCCTGCTGTAAGGATCGCACGATCTCCATAGCATGGGCCTGCAGGTCCGAGATGGCGGCCCTCAATACATGCATGGCTCAGCAGTGAGTGCTGGGCTGGTGCGCAGTGGAACTGGGCAGGGCCAGAGCTGGGATGACGATCGGCAACGAATCACGGCTGGTGCATGCATACTCGTGTGCTCGGCTGCCCCGGGATGACCACAGTCTCTGCTCAATTGGTCGACGAACTCATGCATACAGTGCCCTATCCTGTTCGCCTCCACCCTCATCCCCCATGATGCAGCACACAGCACTTGGAGGTGCTGAAGCAGAGATGGGTTGCGGCAGGGCGCCCGCAGCAGCCAGACTGGGACGCTCTGCTTTCAGGACTATGACCTGACCCATCCCGGCTTCCACACCTTTCAGCAGAGGAGACGTCCACCGAACGCCTAGGCACGTCTGCAATCCACAAGGCATGGATGGGTCCAGGACTTTGCATTCCTGCTCAAACTCCGGGACCAAGCCCTTGGGCTAGCTGGCCTTGGGCAGCATCCGCTCTGCCCAGGGCGCCCCAGGAGGCAGCCTGCTCCTGCTCCCCCGTGTAACCCCTTGGAGATGCTCGCTGGCATGCATGCTTCTCTTACCACAGGGTGGTGCATCGCATGGCAGAATTGTATCACTCCGTCAGAGGGACGTTCCACAAAATTATACTGTGTCAAGACCGGGTGCGTCAGCAAATGTCAGCAACGTCGTTTCTTTCTTCTCCCCCCTCCTCATTGCGCACACTTGGAGGGGGTGTTCTTCTTCCTCCGATTGGGGGGCCTGGCGCCCGGGGTCGGAGGGGGCGTGGTGGTGGTCTGGGGACTGTCCTCGCCGGTGCCGTTGGCAGAGGGCTCCTGGGAGGGAGGGGTTGACCATGGACTTGATGAGGATCAGGCGCACACCCATGTCATGTGACGGGGCGCGGACCCTCCACCACTGCAATCTCACAGTTGTGCGGTAACTAACATCAGAAATGCAGATGGTACTTGCCTGGTCTATGACCTTGGCCTTTGCCGCCTTCTGATGCTTGCCCGTGCCTGTGCCAGTACGGCAGGGGGGTGGGTGCATGACGGGCTAGCCAGGAACCGCATTGCCGATGGCCTGCGCAGTGCAAGACCTATGACATCCATCGCACCTGGTGGCCTCCCGGGCTTGCGCTTTGTTGGATATGAGGGCGCTGAGACCTCGAAGGCCGACGCCGGATGAGGGTGCTTTCGCGGCCGTCCACGTTTGCGCTGCTCGGGCGGTGGGGCCGTGAAGGGGCCGTCTGGACCATTGCCCTCCCCCTCCACATCTGGTTGCAGGATGTGTGGGGTGGTGTGGCCATTGCTGACCAGCAGCTCGGGGAGGGGGTGTTTGCGAGGACGACCAGGACCCCGCTTCACTGCGGGTTCTACAAACATGAGAATCAGGCTGACTGGATATGCATTGCGGGTCACACGCACGCTAATTTGTGTTCTGACTAACGGTCGAAAATAAATTTAATTGTTCTACCCCTAAGCAAGTGCATTGAGGTGTGTGAGCCACGGATTGCGGCTTACGACAGGGATAGATCTGGCTCCGCCAGAGCAAATGATCCGCAGGAAGAAAACTGGAAGCCCCTCTCCAAACCAAGCTGCGCCAGGCCCGATACATTCGAGACATGCACCCTAGCAGCGAAGGCCCCATCACACTATCGACAGAGTATAAACTAAAGGAGTGGACAATGGAGCTTGATCTGGGCTTGCCCTGGGTTGCGCCCCTCGTGACGGTCGTGCTCGCCATCACCTTTCTTGCGGTCTGGCGACGAGGACGCGACATCCCTGCGCTGGACGTCAGATTGGAAGGCACGTCTATTATTGTATGGGTTCACCGTTGCGTGTATTGATGCGTGGAAACGAAATACTGCCGCTCATATCGCCGCAGATGCCGTGCGAGACTTGCCACGCAAGGCGTCCAGCTCGCATCAGATCCGGTGCTACGACCCTGCCACACTCGACGAGTTTGGGTATGCGCATGCCATGAGCGCTGCTGAGGTGAGGGTTAGCATATATTGAGCAGGAGGCTCACGCAGAGGTGGGGCACCTTGAATGCAGTGACTGCCGAGGGCCCTTGAGCATCATGCTTTGTCACCATCACTGACATGTTATCACTCCAGGTGCGAGACATCATAGCAAAGACACGATTGGCCAGCAAGGTGAGGAGCGGCGTCTGTCAAGGGTGCACTACAGCAATTGGAGTCTGAGCCAGGCCATGCTTTGGTACTGCAACGCACTAAATCATCTGGCCCCCTCCCCCATCGCTTTCCAGGAGTGGAAGAAGTCCAGCTTTGCACAGCGCCGGATGCTGCTCAAGATACTGCTCAAGTTCACCGTCGAGAACCAGGCCGACATCTGCAGGTGCCTTGATGAGCGAGGGAGGGGTTTGGATGGCGTGGAGTCAAAGTGATGCCCTGAGACTCAGCACCGCTGCAGCTCCTTGCACTGCCGTCGCTCGGTGATCCAGCGGGGGACTGCACCCGTCCCGAGCTACTTGCTCCCCCGCGCGATCTCAGAGTGTCTGCCCTGGACTCGGGCAAGCCACTGGTGGATGCATCTTTTGGGGAGGTCCTGGGTACCTGCGAAAAGATCTGGTGGCTCGTGGCAGAGGGTGAGAGATATCTCAGGCCCGAGCGTCGCTCCTCTGGCTACATGGTGAGGAGGTTGAGGAGGGGAGGATGATTGCGAGAAGACCAGGGATTGCGGGGTTCTGCTTTGTGGACCCACGGCTGGCAGGCATGTGGTGCCTGCTCCCCCCACGCAATCTCAGCCTGCACGGTCCAGGTATCCCAACCACCCCCGCTCCAACCACGGTCCTCGCCCAGATGTTCTACAAGAAGGCGCGCGTGGAGTACCACCCCGTGGGCGTGGTGGGCGCCATTGTGCCCTGGAACTACCCCTTCCACAACATCCTGAACCCGCTCACCGCCGCGGTCTTTGCCGGAAATGGCGTCGTCATCAAGGTGTGCGGGAGTGCGAGGGGTGTGGGCAGAGCCCTGGGGTATTCGGGGCGGGACATCTGGGTTCGAGGGGGCACTCCGCCTGCCAGTGCCGCGCCTGCTTTGTGTATGCTGTGGAAAGAGCGGCAGAGGCCTGCCGTCTTCATCGGCCAGCCTGTCACACATCCACATCCTGGCAAACACACAAGCTATGCCTCAAGTCGGCATTCCAACCTCTCTTCCTCCCCCAAAGGTCTCCGAGCACGCCACCTGGTCGGCCCTGGTATACCAGCGCGTGATCGACGCCGCGCTGGCGGCCGCGGGCGCGCCCCCGGACCTGGTCCGCATCGTGACCGGCTTCGGCGAGGCCGGCAGCGCGCTGGTCACCGGCGGCGTGGACAAGCTCATCTTCGTGGGCAGCACTGCCATCGGGCACAAGGTGGAGCTGCGTGGGGGGGCAGAGGTTCCTCGGGCCGTTGACAAACTCGCGGCCCTCGTGATCCTCTTGTGCATCTGCCGAAGCGCCGGATGTCGCCCCCACCATTCACTCAGGTGCTGGAGGCGGCGGCCACCACCCTGACGCCGGTGGTGCTGGAGCTGGGCGGAAAGGACGCCTTCATCGTGCTGGAGGACGCCGACCTCGCCACGGTGGGTGAACAGGAAGGGGCCACCCCCCTAGTCCACGACAAACAGTGGGCTGCGGGTGCAGGGACGGTGGCCGACCAGCCGAGCCCAGCCCCAAGGTCCTCTCTTCACCCAGCTGCTCCCCCTTCCATCAGGCATGCTGGGCCCGTACATCCCATTGCACCTCCATCTCAATGAAACACCGGTGGCCCATCACACCTGCCCTCCCTGCCATGCAGGTCACAGCCACCGCCCTGCGCGGCGCTTTCCAGAGCTGCGGGCAGAACTGCGCGGGCGCGGAGCGCTTCATCGTCGCCGAGCGGGTGAGCAGTGAGGGGGAGGAGAAGTGTGGAGTGATTGCGCAGGTTCACCTGAGTTTGGCGTCTCGGCTAGGTGTGTTGGGCAGTCGTGGCCTGCATAACAACGGCTTGCACAGCAGGAACCCACTCCGTCGCTCTCCTGCCCCCCCTCCTCCTGCAGCTGTTTGAAGAGTTTGTCCAGCGATGTGTGGCAGTCGCTGGGAAGCTGCGTCAAGGCCCTGCCGCCGGAGAGGGTGTGGTGGACTGCGGGTCCATGTGCATGCCGGGCCAGGCGGAGAAGGTGCAGGAGCTGGTTGATGATGCAGTCGCCAAGGGCGCCAAGGTGGGCTTTGGTGTGCCATGCTCCCTCTGTGCCGGGCAGGCTCTGAGCGGAGCGGGTTTCGCAGTCCTGCGGGGGGTGGGGGATCCCGGGGCCGCCCCATCCTGCATGCCCCTCCCATCGATCCCTTCTCGCCCTCGGGTCGCGTGGCCTGGGGTCACGAGCACGATCGCCGGCTTTGCACGCCCCCCACCCTCCCCGACGCCAGGTGTTGATCGGCGGGCGCCTGCCGGCCGCGGGGAAGGGCCACTTCTACCCGCCGACCATCATCACCGGTGTCGCACAGGGCATGCGCATCTGGGAGGAGGAGGTCTTTGGACCCGTCATGTCCGGTGAGTCTGCCTGCTCTCCCCTGGGAAGGGTGTTGTGAAGAGGGGGCCATGGCGCTGTGCAGTGCCTGCCCCCGTGCAGGCGTGCAGTCACGGCCACGCGAGGCAGCGCTCCGTGCCGAAGCGAGCAGGCGCTCCACTCGTCCCATGACGAAAGCGTCCCCACCCACCTCGCACGCACCACCCCACCGCCTTTCCCGTCGGGGTCCCAGTGGTGAGCTTCAGGAGCGATGCAGAGGCCGTGACCCTGGCCAATGACTGCCCCTTCGGCCTGGGGTCGGCGGTGTTCTCCAGAGACGTGGCGCGTGCGAGGCGCCTGGGCGCCCAACTGGAGGTGGGTGCGACGCTCTTGCGGGGGGTGGGAGTAGCATGGGTGTGGCCGGTGGGGTCGAGCGCGCCTGGGCCCGCAATGGAGCCAGGCCCCCAGCTGCACCAGACAAGGGTGTGGATATGCGGCAGGCTGTGCTTTCCATGGCCCCTGGTGTGACCAGGTGTTTGAAGCCCACCTCTTGGTCACCCGACCCGGAAGGTTGTGGGCAGGCAGCAACTGCTCCCATCAAAGTCACAGATGCGCCCTGCCCAGACCCTGCTTCATCTCCTCACATCCCCACACCCACACCCCCTCCATCAACTCAGGCGGGGATGACCAGCATCAACGACTTTGCGACGACGTACATGTGCCAGAGCCTGCCCTTTGGGGGCGTTAAGCACTCCGGTTTCGACCGCTTTGCTGGGGTAGAGGGCCTGCGCGGCCTCTGCGTCCCAAAGGTGGGATTCCGTGGGTGTCAGAGTGTCCGTGGCGGCACATGCCATGCTGAGTTGGTGCAGCGGCTAGGATTACACCTGCACCTTTGCTCCGGTCTGGGACGCTGGTGGTTGGAAAACTGTCCAACCGATGGTCTGCTGGGCAGCAGCTGCCATCGTGTCCACTGGCCAACGCATGTTATCAGTTCATCGTCCTTCCATCCCACTCCCTTGTGGCACGCAGGCTGTTGCAGAAGACATGTGGCCTTTCAGCACGGCCATCCCGCCGCTTCTCCAATACCCCGTCAGCGACCGCGCATTCGAGTTCTGCTCTGCTCTGGTCTGGATGTTCTACGCGCCAACGATTGCTGGTAATTTATCGCGAGGGGGCTGCCGGGAGGCTGCAAGAATTGGCTTGTCCAAGGGAGACCCACAATGTCAACATGACCTCCATGCAGGGAACCTGAAAGGGCTTTGGAGTCTGGCGGCGTGCTTCCTTCCCAAGCGGGGATCGAAGAAGCCAGCGCAGAAGAAGTCGTCCTGAATGTCCCCCCATGTGAGGACAATCTAGTTGTGCGCAGCTGTCGGGGCATGCCAGATGCAAGGTTGCGATGCTGCCGGCATTGAGACATGTGTTCTTCGTCGCAAAGTCCCACACAGTGATTCTCGACATCATCAAGAGTGCCATACCTCGGTACACACATCAACTCAATTTGACGAGTGAAAAGGTCTCCAGGGAGGGTGATACCATATCGTTGAGGTGCTTGCAGCCCCGAGACCTACTGCCAAGAATGTATGTGATCAATTGCATACATCACCGTTGCCCCACACCATTGCCAACTCTTTCCCGACATTCCGAATCAGAACATCTCTTCCGTCAGCCTATCATCAAGGAAACATATTATTTCGTCGTTGGATGGAGGCTCCTGTTGTTGCAAACATCAAGTGCTGCATCTTGCAGAACTCCTGTGGAGTTCACATTTTTATCCCCCGCTTTAAAGAAAGTAGGGCACGCTGCCCCACCTACCACCATGAGCCCGCGCTTTTGCACTGGAGGAAACGCGTTCCAGACCGTGATGTCCCCTTAGGTTACCGCAGCTTCAATGCTGAGAAGTGGGATACGTTGCATACGAGCGTTTACATCACTGCGCCCAGGTAGAGCTCCTGGCGCATGCTACCACGTGCGGCTAGCACGCCCTGACACAAGAATAACATCCGGCCGGGAACGCCGGTGTCCTCCAGCAAGAGGCAACCATCGGGTGTTTGTGGCCATGGCGAGCCCCGATGCGCCCGTCAACGAGGTCGAAGCCCTCCGCAAACAGATTGCTGACCTCCAGGTACTTTAAGTCTAGCGACTCGGGCCTCGCCAACAAGCTGGTAGCACGCATGAATTATTAGGATCTAAACATCATCCAACATTGCTAGCTTCGAGGTTCGGAGGTGATCATTAATCCCGATCACGGCCACGCCGCCTCCATGCACCTTGCTCTCGACCCCATCACAGATTCAGCTGAAGCAGAAGACTGCGGCCGAGTCTGGCCTGATAGCTCCATACTCCAAGTCATACTCCCGGGTACCCGTGCGATCCGTGCTGCAAGCCGATGGCGAGGGCGCGTCCCTGGCCGGCCAGACCCTCCGGGTTGGTGGCTGGGTGAAGACTGGCCGCGAGGCTGGAGCCGGAGCCTTCGCATTCCTGGAGATCAACGATGGCAGCTGCTTTGCCAACCTTCAGGTCATGGTGGACAAGGCGGTTGCGGAGAGCGTAGGAGGCTTGGGGCAGCTGACCCCCACCTCCACCTGCGTTCTCATCGAGGGCATCCTGTCTGAGACGCCTCCAGGCACCAAGCAGAAGGTTTGCCGGGGGGTGGTGTTGAGTTTGAACGATTGCTTGCGTTGAGCAGGGAAGGTCTCTGAGATTATCTCTGAGATGTTCTCCTGCAGTTGGCCCCTCACCTCAATCCACATCAAGGTCACAAGGTGTGACACCATGCCTCGCATTCCTCATCCCTGACTTGCCACGATACACACCCTTTTCACCTTTGCGACGGTAGAGAGTGGCGGCCTAGCACTGTGTCAGGCCGGCGATATGCCGGCTTGGCATGGCCATGATGGTCTCCTCTAGTTAACTGTTGCACATCACTCCATGCGACCCTTTTTAAAACAGGCGTTCTCAAGGCTGCCCAGCCCCGTTTTGGGGCCGGGAGTTTGGCCTGCATGGAACTGCCTGTGTCGGAGGGGTTGCACATCGTAAAGTCCATCCTTTGATTGCCTTCAACTGTGTCTCTGTCATTCACGGCTCTTTTTTCAATGTGTGTGCGTGTCTGGGCTCTCATCAAAATCCATATCTGGCCCCAACGCCACCCCCCCCCCCCCCCCGTTTCCCATTCAATCACTCACCCACACAACACCCATCCACCCAGGTGGAGCTGAAGGCCAGCAAGATCGTGCACCTGGGCACCACCGACGCGGCCGAGTACCCGCTGGCCAAGAAGAAGCAGTCCTTCGAGTTCCTGCGCGAGAAGGCGCACCTGCGCCCGCGCACCAACACCATCGGCGCGGTGGCGCGCATCCGCAATGCGCTGGCCACTGCCACGCACACCTTCTTCCAATCGCACGGCTTCCTGTACGTCAACTGCCCCATCATCACCGCCTCCGACTGCGAGGGCGCGGGCGAGATGTTCCAGGTGACCACGCTCCTGTCCGGCGCCGACGGCGCGGCGGCCTCCCCCGCCGCGACCCCGGAAGAGCTGGAGGCGTTGAGGGCGGAGGTGGCGGCCCAGGGCGAGGCCGTGAAGGCCGCCAAGGCGGCGGCTGCGGCAGACAAGGTGGGTTGGGTGCTGGATTTGGGTGGGGGGCCTGAAATGGGAGGCCAGGGTTGACGGGACAGTGGCTCCCACAGCTTTGTCTCCCCACCAAGGTTGCAGCAAACCTCGACATGCACCAAGCAACCCCCGACCCTGCAGGCGGACAAGTCGCTGGCGGCCGAGTCCAAGGCCCAGGTCAGCGCCTTGCTGGCGCTGAAGCAGCGGCTGGCGGGCGCGGAGGAGCGCGCGCGGCTGGTGGGCGGCGTGCCGCACACGCCCTCCGGCGGCATCGACTACTCCAAGGACTTTTTCGGCCGCGCCGCCTTCCTCACCGTCTCCTCCCAGCTGAACGCGGAGTACTACGCCTGCGCGCTGACGAGCGTGTACACCTTCGGCCCCACCTTCCGCGCGGAGAACAGCCACACCGCGCGCCACCTGGCCGAGTTCTGGATGATCGAGCCGGAGCTGGCCTTTGCCGACCTGGCCGACGACATGCGCTGCGCGGAGGACTACGTCCGCTTCTGCTGCCGCTGGCTGCTGGACCACGCCGCGGAGGACATGGCCTTCATCGACGCCGTGATCGACAAAGGCGCCTCCGAGCGGCTGCGCGCCGTGGCTGCCGCGCCGTTTGCCCGCGTGTCCTACACCGAGGCCGTGCGGGTGCTGGAGGAGGTGGTGGCGAGCAAGAAGAAGAAGTTCGAGTTCCCCGTGTCCTGGGGCGTGGACCTGCAGGTGTGTGGTTGGGGGGGGGGGGGTGGAGGAGGAAAAAGGGGGAGGGGGGGGGGATTGGCAGGTGGATTGGCAGGTGTTGTGCGCATGTGGGCTTGCCTGCCCCTGGAGTCTGAGGTGCTCCCCGCCCCGTGCAACCCACCCCCACCACATTCCCACGTGGCCCCACCCCACATTCCCACGTGGCCCCACCCCACATTCCCACGTGGCCCCACCCCACATTTCCATGCACCCACTCCCCATGTACCCCCAGCCCACCCACACCCTGTACCCCCATCCCCAACAGTCGGAGCACGAGCGGTACCTGACGGAGGAGGTGTACAAGGCGCCCATCATCGTGTACGACTACCCCAAGGACATCAAGGCCTTCTACATGCGCCTGAACGACGACGGGCGCACCGTGGCGGCCATGGACGTCCTGGTCCCGCGCGTCGGCGAGCTGATTGGGGGCAGCCAGCGCGAGGAGCGGCGCGACGTGCTGCAGCGCAGGATCCAGGAGTCCGGCATGCCCCTGGAGCCCTACGCGCCCTACCTGGACCTGCGCACGTACGGCACCGTGCCCCACTCCGGCTTCGGCCTCGGCTTCGAGCGCCTCGTCCTCTTCGCCACCGGGCTGGACAACATCCGGGAGGTCATGCCCTTCCCGCGCTGGCCGGGGCACGCCGAGTTTTAGGGTCGGGGGGAGTCCGGGTGGGACCCCTAGGGAGGGAGGGGGGGGGGGACGGCAAGGGCCCTCCGTGGATGCCTGGCGGCCAGCGTCCCAGCGCATCAGCGGCGCCTGTCCACCACCACAGCAGGCAGCCGGCTTGCCATGCAGCCTGCACCTCTCTGGCCCCCCCCTCTCGGCAATGTAATTCTAGGACTGCGAATCGGCAGGCTGGGGAACAAGGGATCGGGGCGAGCTGCGACACAGCAGGGGTCTTACAGACTCCGCAGAGGGACTCCACCGGGCGCATGTGCGCACGACACGGGTCCCCATTCAGTGCAACGTTGCGGCCGCCTCCTGCAGGATCTCCCGGGCCGCCACCTTGCCCGCGGGGGTCAGCAGGGAGTGCAGCATCACGTAGATGAAGCTGCGTGTGAGTGAGAGGGCGTCGTGGGAGGGGCTGAGAAGACAGCGGCACATGCACTGGCGCCAGGGGTCAAGGCAGTGGAGGCATCAGAGGAGTCAAGCAAGACGGCTGCGCCTGCCCACCACATGGACACCCTGCAGCACCTGTACAGGATCCAGGCGAAGAGGAAGAGGTAGACGATAAGCTTGGTCACCGCCTGCTGCCGGCGCGGCTTCACCTGGCGGTAGATCTCGGTCACATCAATGTACTGGCGGCCGAAGCGCCACTGCAGGGAATGATGCAGGGAGCGGAGGGAGGAATGTGAAGGGTACATGAAGTATTTTATTCAGTGAGCATGCACTTGATCACGCGGCAATACGCAGATGAAAGTTGCTGATCTCAGAGGACCAGACCCCCAGGGCTGAAGGCGTGCCCCATCATCCCAACCCCCCAAGCCAAGATCCACCGCGCCTGCTGGATGTGGAAGGCCAGGATGGCGAGGGGAAGCAAGGCGCTAAACCACTTTCCATTCAAGATCAGCCAGATCGCCAGGAAGCCCTCCAGGCCATACTCCCACAGCTGGGGTGGCCGGAGCGAGCAGGGGAAGGGTGTTAAGGGTACTTAATGGTAGTAATAAGCTATAAGTCTCAAGATCTTAGTTTAATTCGCGTGCAACAGAACACCGATTCGTTTACAGGTAAGCACCCAGCTGCAAACTCTCCCAGTAGTGTGCCCCTCACCACTACGCTGTTGATGGCCGAGGCGGCGTCGTGTGGATTAGTGTTGTCGTTCTCTAAGTCCGTGAACTGGAGAGTGATGTGCATGTTGATGGCCAACACCGCGGCCTGGATCAAGACGGCCAGCAGCCAGACGAGGAACTCATAAGGCATGGCGCTGAGTCCGGGACTACGGCACAAGAACTGCTTTGGTGTGCTCAGGGGTCGATAAACATTTTATCCCAGCAAACCCAAACCAGCGATCTGTAATATCTCGGTGGAACAAGGCGGGGCGATGCTACACGAATTTAGAGTCTAGTTGGACAGAGCCCAGATCGAGGCGGTCCACGCTTTCCACCTGTCCTCCGTTGCCTGGGATTCAAACTGGGGTGCGACCGAAAGGCACTCGCCCGCACAACTCCTGCGCAAAGTGACGTCCCGAAGGAAAAATTCCCACTGCTAGGACTTCGACGCCATGAAACATGACACCGTCGCGTCTGGCGAGGCAGCTCTGGTGAAGGCACAGCCAAATACGGCCAAGCTGTTTGTCTAAGCCCTGCTCGACACTGCGTCGGTGAGTCACCCGGCCACGGTAGGGCCCTCTGCGGCACTTTTTGTGAGCCTTTAGTTGGTATGCTATCCTCATTGATTAACAGGCGATACCCCATCACCGATACACAGCTAGCTATCCTGCCATGGTGACGACTAGGCGAAGCAGCATTGCTTTCCAACCCGCTGCGGCATCGGGCGGACTGCTGTCCGTGGAAGAGTACGAGTCCCGTCGAGATGTTTGCACCGAAGAAGAAGTCGGCAGGTGCGTTCCGATGCTCCGACGCTTGAAGGGGCCCGCAGGGGTTGTCCGGGCCGATGCCGCAGTGAGGTAGGGTGCTCGTCTATGTCTGGCTAGAGTGGATCCTGAAGGGGGGTGCTATTGTTCATCAAGTGTACCAGGTGTCTACAATCCATCCTCTTGCCCCATGCAGACTGAAGGATAGCAAAGAGTTCAAGGACTGGGAGGCTGATCGCCGCCGCGCATCCCGGCACAGGGCATTCCGAGGCCTGCCCCTCGCCGGTGCCACCCTCCTCCTGCTCACCCTGTGCGCGCTCGCGCTGAGCGGGGGAGGCCTCGGTTTGGATCTGCTCTCCAGCTTGAAGCCCGGGAGCAGCGTCCCCCTGGGGAAGAAGGTGGCGACCGATGCAGGCCTACATGATGCGCCCCTACCAATCCCTGCCACACCCTCGACCGTCCCACCCACTGCCAGTCCGCCCTCTATCGTTACCCCTGTCACGCCACCCACCGCCGCACCATCTCAAGTTGCAAAACGAACCGCGGCCAACGTCAGCGCGGTGCTGCTGCGCAAGGTGGCCCTGCTGGAGGAAGGGGCGGTGCGCGCGGCGGCCGGGCACGAGGCCGCGCTGCGCGCGCTGCGTGGCGAGCTGGAGCGCGAGCGGACGCTGGCGGCGCAGAGGGCCGACGCGCTGGCCAGGCTGCAGCTGGCCGCCGCGGTGGCCAGGGAGAATGTGGCCGCGCAGGACGAGATCGCTCAGGCTCGGCTGGCGGGCCTGCCCAATGCGTCCTCGCCCGGCGCCGCGGCCGCGCGTGCCGGTGCTGGCGCGGCCGGCCTGATCGCCACGCCCTCGCCTGCAGAGGCTGGGTCCTGGCCGCCCGCTGCCGCCCAAGCGTGCGTGCCCTGCGAGAAGGTTGGCGCGCGGCAGGAGGGGGAGGAGCACGGTGGGCCACCAGGTGCAGTGTCGGGCTGGGGCGCGGCCCTGGCCGCGCTGGCGGCCGCGCTGGCGGCGGGGTCGCTGGGCTACGGCGCGGGGCGTGCGGCCTTCGCCACCGTGGTCCACGTCGTTGACGACGAGGGGCCCGGGGAGGAAGGAGCCGCCGCCGACGCGGTCCTGCCCCCCCCCGCACGCGCATCGAACGCCCCGCTCCTGGAGGAGGCCTCCTCCCCTGCGGTCGCACCTGGCCTCCGCCCAGGCCGAGCTGGCGGAGCTGGAGCGCGCGGCGCGGCTGGCCGCCTCGGGCGCGGAGACTGAGCGCGCCACGCTCCTCTCCCGCACGGCGCAGTTGCAGGGGGCGCTGGACGCCTGGCGCTGCGCGGCGGGCCAGGTGGCGGCCGAGGCCGAGGCGGCGGCCGCGGCGGCCTACGTCGTGACCGGCGGCGGGGGCAGCGTGCCGGGGTCGCCCGTGCGCACGCCCCTGGGCCGGCGCACGCTGAACCGGGCGGAATCGGCGGCGGCCACGCCCGGCACGCCCATGGTCACCCCAGGTGTGTGGGGTGGGGTCGGGGAGGGGTTCAGGTGTTTGGGAGGCGGGGTGGGACGGTGGTGGGAGGGGCGCAGGGGCGGTTGCCTCGTGAGATTTCTGAGACGCACTCCTGTTGCCGGAGGCGCCAGGAGGGCACTGCATCCACCGCTCCACCCACCCCTCCCACCAGTCACTCCCTCCCCGCCCCACCCCTTTCCCCAGCGACGGCGCGCTTCAAGAGCTGGCTGGCCTCCTCCCCAGACCCGGTGCCCTCGGGCCCCGCTGACGAGGACCCCGCGCCGTGGCTGGCGGGCGTGGCGGCGCGCGTGACCGCGCTCAAGGAGCGCGCGCTGGCGGCGTCCCGCGGTGCAGCCGACGCGGCAGCCGAGGCGCGGTCGCTGCGCACCGACCTGGCCTGGCACGGCGCGCGCGTGGCCGACCTGACCACCGACCTGGAGCTGGCGCGGGAGCAGCTGTCGGAGGAGCGGCGCGAGCGCGGCGCGGCGCGCGAGGCGGCGGTTGCCGCGCGCGCGGCGGCCGCCTCGCTCGAGCACGCGCTGGCCTCGGCGCGGGAGGGCGCGGCGGCGCGCGGCGCGCGGGTCGAGGCGCTGGAGCGCGAGCTGGCCTGCCTGGAGGCGCAGGTGGAGCAGCTGACCGCGGGGCTGACGCACGCGCGCGGCCAGAAGGCGGGCCTGGAGGCGGAGCTGGCTGCGGCTCGGCGCGGGGCGTCCCACCTGGAGCTGCTCCTGGACGCCGCGGAGGGGGAGAAGGAGGCGCTGGGCGAGGCGCTGGGCGAGGCGCGCGCCGAGGCCGCGCGCCTGGTGGCCGCGGGCCAGGCGCTGGTCAAGGCCGAGTCTGCCATCGGCGCCGCGCACCGCGCCGCGGACGACGAGGCTGAGTGGGGCTTGGGACGCGACGGCGGGGAGGTCGAGGATGTGGCCTGCGCCGACGCCGACGCCAGCATGTGCACCCCGCCGCCGCACCGCGGCGCCGCCCAGGCCGGTTTCGAGGAGGACCTGCGCCGCGCGGTGCACGAGAAGGTGGCCGCGCTGGAGATGCTGGCCAGCGCCGAAAAGCGCATGCTGCTGTCCGAGGAGCGGGGCGAGGCGGGGTGGGATCGAGGGGCGGGGTCGGCGAGTGGCGGCGGGGCGGCGTCGGGTGGCGGCGGAGCGGGTTCGAGTGGCGGCGGGGC